TATATATATATATATATATATATATATATATATATATATATATATATATGTTTGAATATGTATATGCTATTATTCACAATTAATTTAAAAAGTTTAAAATACATTCATATAAGATGCCTCATAGGTATGTCAGTGGCAGGCAGCACCTCGCCCCCACCTGACAGCCACTATCATAGGAACATGTACTGGTTGTCGATGGCTCTCTTGCGCCCCCTGTCCAGCAGCTCCAGCTCGTAGTCAGAGTCCCGCTGTGGGGATGGGGCCGGCCGTGGGTTGGGGTGCCACTGCAGGGGGCGGCGCCCCACCGAATCGCTGCGGCGCAGACCCTCAGCAGCAGGCTGCTCCTGGTGCGAGGGGCCAGGCAGGAGGGGTGGCCCTATGGCGGTCGAAAGCTGGGGCTGGGCACCAGAGCCAGAGGGGGCGGGGCCGGGGGCAGGGGTGGCCCGGGGGCAGCCTGCAGGGTTGCAGCGGGCCAGGCTGGGCTCCGAGCTCCAGCGGTGCAATGAGAAGGGCACCAGCATGCCAGCAGGGGGGGAGGAGCTCTGACCTGTGGGGAGAGGGGGAGGGGTTTATTACAGCCACGGCTGGATGCTATCTGACATACTGGAAGTGATGAGCACATAATGCAGATTTGCCTTATGAACATGACCGTCCCAAACAATACAGAACATCTGGGTCAGTGTCAGGGTTGGGGGTGTTCAGGCATGAGCCTGCCCCCCTGCCAGTGAGAGCAGGAGACGGCGCCCTCAGTGCTGCCTGCCCTCTGGACGAGCCCTAATCGCCAACCCCAGTTGCCTCTGAATAGGCGTTTGAGTTTCAGTATCGCTGCGGCAGAACTGAATTCCTGGCACTCAGAGCTCCTAAGGTATTCATGATTATCTTTTCGTTTCCTCAAAAAGCACTTCCGTCAACAATGCATAAGGAACTGGACAAGGCCGCTTCCTCTCTGCTGGGGGGGCGCGGGGATGCAGTCAGGTGATGGGGGACATCCATTGACCGCAAGCCGCTCCCTTGCTCTCCCTGAGCCCGACGGCCAAGCCGCACGCCAGCTCCGGGTTCCTGTCTTACCTGGTAAAGCAGGGCTGGCCATCACAAAGCTGGAGAGCTTGACGTTGCAGGCAGAGCCACATTCCAGCGGGATGGGGAACAGGCAGAAGTGGCTGAGCATCTCCGTGACGGAGGAGAAGTGCAGGTGCTGCACGCGGCACTGCCCGTATTCTGTCAGGGAGAGGCGCAGGTGCTGCAGAAAGGAGGGGGGGTGGGTGTCACAAGGTGCAGCAGGAGGGAGGGGCGGCTAAAACATTCATCTAATTAAAGTCAGGACACCATTAATATGATGCCAATTCATGGACTTAAATGACATATAAATAAGTATTATGGATCCGTCACAGGGTCAAACCCTAGTGTTCACCTTGGCTTTGCCCTGGAAGTTGAACGTGAGGACGTAGTCTCCTCGCCGGGTCTCACTCTGACGCACCAGGAAGACACCGTGTCCCTGCAGGCCGGACGTCTGCACCAGGTGAGCAGCCTTCACCCGGGAAATGGGTCCATGGAACCATGGGTATGAAGACAGGAAGTGATCCATCTTCTGGTACGTCTGTTCCAATGGGGCAAAGTGCGCTGACCCTGAGGACAGGAATGCAGAAGCTCAGTCTGGAACAGAAGCATGTCTCAGGGAATCATACAAATGATTCAAACCGAGGCCTTTGAAAACGACTGAGAACAGAGCTGCTTAAACACCCATTGATATACATATGCAGAGAAAACAAACAAAGCAAAACAGAAGCCTGATCTGTTCACTACTTAATTATAGCATGAATAAACTTTGCATTTCTGTGGTAAAACACAGACCCCTACGAGAGCGCTGCTCACTGCCAGCATTGCTTTGATTAGCGCGTGGCGGTAAGTCGCTGCATACACAAAGGTCACCCTGCTATTATCTGCTAGCTGGCAAGTGGCTGTAGCCACTAAGACCTCTAGTAATTAGCAGTTGCAAACTGGGTGATGGTACAACATGTTGCATGGAGCGCTCTTAATACAGAGCTCAAGCTAATGCACCTTCCAAGCAGTGGCACCCACCTAGGCTGGTGGACTCCGAGCTTCCCCTCCTGGCTCCTGCAGGGAGGTCCCCAGGTGTGGGGCTTGTCAGCTCCACGTCCGTGCCGTCAGATCTGTGGATGCACACACACAGAAAGCCTTCAGAATCGGACGCTGTATTGGAAAGAGCTGTGCTGAGCTGGGGCTTCGAATGCAGCTCCTTTTTAATGCAGTGTGGCGGGAACGGCAGCTGTAAGCCTCACACCCCCACTGTCTGCCCAGTGAGCCAGATGGGAGGCATCACCCCAAACAAAGAACAAGCCCAGCTACCGGCGTCACACAGGCATACATTAAAGAGAAACTGCGTACATTAAAGAGGGACTCCGGTGCAACATGGTGGTCAAGCCCAGGGTGGAAGTGAGAAAGGGCGGGGCTGGAAGGCGGGGGGGACGGGAGGAAGCTGAGTTGTGCAGAGCCGCAGGGCCTCTGGGGGTGGGGGGGGGCTGGTCAGGAAGCACGTCTCATAATTCTTGGAAATATGAAGTGCTATTGTTACCCCAGAGCAGTGCTGCGAGCAAGCAAGCAAGAGCACGAGCTGACAAAACAAGGCCAGATCAGATTCTCAGCATAAGTGCTGACTGGTGTTCTCAGCGCTCAATAACAGGAAGAATTTTTTTTCCTTTTTTAAAAAGAGAGACTTTTATATAAATGCATGAGTTTCTTGAGGTGATCTGACAACAGCGCGCACGTACACCCCCCCCCCACACACACACACACACACCCCCACCAGATCTCCATGCTGACTTTATAGTCACACAAACACTGGACCATCTCCAGAGCACAAAAAGCCCCCCAACTCTTTCTTGCGGCCAACAGGAAACCAGAAATAGAACAAAAGTGTGGAACATGTGGTCCTCTGCCTCCACCTACTGGTGTAACCTGGGCAATGCACCCAGCTCAGCATTGGAGAGGAGCACCCCCATCAAGCTAGAACAAGACAATCTGCCATGTTAGAGGTGGGCAGGCATGGACCAGATCAGCTGCCCTCTTAACCGGGCCAATCACAAGGCCTCTGTACACAGCCCAGCTCAGGAGAACAGCTGGAAATGACTACATCTGGTGGGTTTTTTTTAAGTATACATATATAAATGCTAGATAAAAGTGACTAGCGGTACAATGATTTTTTTTTTTGGATGGATATATATATATATATTTCTTTCTGAGAACCACTATCACCATTCTCTGCTACTCTGCAATTGTGGCTTGCAAAAGACTACAGGGGAAATGAAGATCATCTGATTTTGAATATTAGCACAGCTTCCTAAGAACTACAATGCGCTGAAAGTGACGATCGCGGCTTTAAATCAGGCGACGGGCAAAAGCGACAGCTAATCAAAAAAAGGCGCATTCTACCTGAAAGGTTTTTTTCACTGGCAGATCGCTTTGTCAACAGTAAGAAAAAGGCTGGTAACCATTTTATTTTCCATGCATGTAAAATAAATAAATGTGTGTATACGGGATGAGTAACCCTAACCCTAAGCCAGCTGCTGTGAATGATAATGGCCGCGGTAACCTGAATGGCTGACCCTCTTCCCTACAAGATCATCAAGAGCCTCAGGCTTCCCACACTTTCAGCAGGGGGCGCCGACCGGCACGTGCACTGATGCCTGTGGCCTCTGCCTCCCAGGGACCCAGCTGTGTCTGTTAGCTAATAAGCACGAAGCCACATGCACAGACCACATCCTCACCTGCTGCTCAGATGCTCCTTGATCTCCGTCGTCCAGGAGCTGACCTGCTGGTCACTGTCCGTCTCAAAAATGATGCTTCCCGGAGAGTGATTAAGCTGCAGAGAGCGAGGAGGACACTGTCAGCGGGAAAGGAAGCGCTGCAAAGCGAGATCGCCACTCAGTCTCAGTTTACTGTCACGGTGGAAAAAGGCATCAGAATAATTGGAAGCATTTCCTCCCCAAAGTCCACTAGCAGGTATGTTTGGGCCATGAACAGTGGAAACCCTAAGCAGCACATGCAAGAAAACAAAAGGTGGAGGCAGACTTCACCTTTAAAACAAACAAAAGGTGGAGGCAGACTTCGCCTTTAAAACAAACAAAAGGTGGAGGCAGACTTCGCCTTTAAAACAAACTAAAGGTGGAGGCAGACTTCACCTTTAAAACAAATGTGTTGACATTGTCCGGCATCTCCAGCGGTTTGCAGCGGCGGACCTCGCAGATGTCTGATAAGCGCGCAGTCAGCTTCGGGCTGGAGGCCTGCAGAGGCAGTGAGGTCGGGAGAGAGGCAGAGAGAAGCAGATGGAGAGACAGTCAGTTCTCCACCCAACTTGGCTTCAAGCATCTTTCAAATGTCAGCCTCACTTCCTGTCCTGCTCTGAGTGCTGTTCCAACCAACACAGACTTATGCTTCCTGTCAGACATCTTCCATGGCACTCCTCCGGGCACCAGGAACCTTAATTCTATATCTTGGAAGGAACATTAAAACACACACACACACACACACACACACACACACACACACCTAGCTTAATGATCTACAGCAGAGTTTGTGCATTTATGAGCGAGCAGCTTTACAGACAACCAATGACAAGTCTGGGAACTGACATATTGGGGGCTGCTGCGAACATCTGTGCAGCAGGAAGTTTGGGCTTGGAGAAGGTCACTGGCACTCAGCCCTCCTCGTATCACCTTTCCCCCTCCCCTTCCTCTAAAAGGACAGTGCTTGGGGAATTTTCCCAGGATGATCAAACAAATGGCATTTATGGGGGGGGGGGGGGATCTGTAAACCCTCAACACCTCAATGCCTTTTAATAAAACAGCTGTTAAAAAATAAGGTAAGATATTCTAACAAAGCCACTGCACTGCATTTGGGGGGCACACAAGAAAGGCAGCAGAGTGAGAGTTTGGCCAGCTGACTGACGAGCCTGCTTGCAGGGTCCCTCTATACGATCACTCCCCATGAAAGGCTAATTCTCACACCACTCGCAGTGCATTCACACACATTCAGGAGGTGAGGGGGCTCCTATTCCTGCCGTCTCAGTGAGAATACAGCAGTGACTGTGGGTGGCCTGTCCCAGTGAGTAACATCAAGCAGTGAACATAACCGTTAAGCAGAACCCTCGCCACTAACAGGGGCGTGAAGAGCCACACTCAGGAAACAACAAATAAAGAAGGTTAAAACTTAACCTCTTAAGTATCCATTTCATTTCCATCTTTAAAAAAAAAAAAAAAACAGGGAAACACTATGATGCTAATTAATTGGTTAATACTGGCTTGTCTCCCTTTTCAGTTCCCATGAAAGTTGTTTGAAAGACTATCACTGGACTTTGACTAACATAGAAGGCATACATGCTTTTAAATGACATGTAACACAAACCTTAAGAGACCGACATCGTAGTTTTAGGAATAAATACAAAGGAGTGATATAAACAATATTGGCCTCATTATTCAATGAATGAGCATCAATTCACTTTCATTACTGCTTCTTGAAATGACTGCATGACTAATAAACATCAGCAAGTTGAAGCTTTCATCTTGCAAACAGTGATGTAAATCTTTGATAAAATACCGACATAAAGTCATCTGGTTAATGTGTCACATTCCTTATGCTACTCATTCTCCTCATTATGAAACTAAGATTTATTTCACACAAAATGGTTTACAGCTGACATTCGGCTCCAGTGGTAAACCGGCTTGTCAGGGCGACCTGACACCTGTGTATTCAAGAGGTGTGACATCAAGTTAAAGCTTCATCAAACAGTGCTGCTGCTCACCTGAGCCTGATATGCAGCGCAAGCCACTGCACGACCCTCAATGTCTTCATTTCCAAAAGTCAGCTTTTGTCAGCTTTATTTTTAGCCTCAACAGTGACCTACTCAATACTTGCTGCTCTTCTTCTGATTCATAGAGTAACTCTGCACTCTGCGCTATGGCCAGCCAGAGAGGACTCCACTCTCGATTCCCAGATACAGGCTTATTTCTTCAGAAAGGTGGGTGGAGTGGAAGGCAACCACATGCTTATCACTCCAGTTACCAGTTTTATCAAGCCATAAATAACAAGGTTACACAATTGGTATCCCTGGGTCTCCACACCACAGCACATAAAGGGCTCCCAAAGTGCAGGCCAAGGTACAGCGCCACCACAGGCCTGAAGACTGAACTGCCCCGAAAAGCAGCACAGTCCTACAGATGATCTCCCCAAGCCACTCTCCCTCTCTCAGGGCTAGGAAAGATTCGGATTCCTGCCTGCTGACTGGACTGACAATGGGCCAAATTGACACACTGCGGGCTGCAGGAACTTCCTCACTAAACGCAGCCAGGCTTTACATGTCTAAAGATTGTGCAAGCCCAGTATGAGAGCTTGTTTTACCAAATAACCCATAAAAACACACACACGACAAATGCTTTCACAAAAGGTGTTTTTTTTTTAATAGTCTATTTTACGGTAACCAGGATGCATGTGCCTGTGCAGAGCTTGTATGAAATGAGAGACTACAGCAAAAAAAAAAATTTGTAAAAAGAACTTATCCAAAGTAACCAAAGTAACCAAACAAAGGAACCCCAATTAGCGTAACTGCAGTTCTTTGCATGAGAAAACACCCTGAGTAGGGCTGTTGTGATCACATCACGATGTAATCATGATTATATGGCACATGCAAAATCATCAGTAGGGATTTAGATGACGGGAAGTTGGTTTTCAGTACTATATGGACGTTTACTTAAGTCCACAGCTTGGTAAGCAGTTTATTACTGAGATTTGTATCGTGACGCCCAAAAGTTGGTAATCACTATAAATTTGGCATAGCCTTATGGTTAATAAATGTGTTGGACTTCAAAGTGCAAAAGGTGCCACCACACCACCTTGTTTATCCACAATATCTCCTCTTTCAAAACATGTTGTGGCTGGTGAGCTGTTCCTTTCTTCACCACCACTTCAGTGCTTATCGATTCCATAATTTACTTAAACAGTAGCATGTGGTGTGATCCGCTAACTGAATGTAATAAACATAAGGATACGCTGAATTTATACAGACTACTGACTTCTGGGCATCACAATACGCATCTCATTAATATCTTAGGCACACTGCTTACCAAACTAAATTTCTGTAAAGTGCTGAAAAGCCGGTGTCCGGACAAACGTATCCCCAGTCATCTAAAGCCCTAGTGATTGTTGCACATGTGCCAGATAATGGTGATTACATTGTGACATGATCGCAAGAGCCCTAACCTTGAGACATGCAGAACACGCACAGAGCAAAACCAGGATTCAAGCACCCATATCTGTATGTATGTGAGGCAACAGCGCTGCTCACCAAGTCAATGTATTACAGAATCATAAAAGAATAAAGTACCACATTATAGCTGTAGCCCTATAATTAGTGAAAAACATTCAAAGATGACCATTGTGGTCCCAAGGGCCTGTGTTGGGAAGAGGTGTACAAATATGGGCTGAAACTGAAACTAGAAGCTAACAGCTTGTGTTTCAAATTGAAATAATTTAGAATTGTAACCAAACAGAAAACTGTAACACAGAACGACAGTAATACAGAATAAGGAAACTAAGACAGACCAAAATTAAGAACTTCAGTCAGCCCAGAGGCTTGGTTGACATCCTTGCTGGATTCCACTCTGCATTATTACAGAGGAGAAGCAATGCAATACAACACAAGGTCCGTGGAAATAAAGGCATGGCAGGGAAGAGCATGTTATCATTCACAGCAGCCATGCTTGTGTGCAAAGTCACCCCAACCCAATTTTACTGCATCCTTCTGAAGGGTACAGAGCACAAGGGCACCAGCAGTGAGTGAGAACTCAGAGATGGAGAGATGAGCAGTGCTGAAAGAAAGATCACTTGGATCTGTTGCCTGTTGGCTGTGAAACTCCTTTTAAGGCATCTGAATGTTCATAACATAACAGATTTATCAAAGAAATTCAAATATTAATTGCAGCTACACTACAGGCCCAGCCCATCATCACACAGTAGCCTAAGCCAGCTGTGTACTACTGACCATGATGGTGAAACCTGCAATGCTAGCCTAGGAAAATGACGTGACAACAAAATATAAAACATTAATTTATTTAGCTACGCACAGGACAGAAATACCAGTAGCAACAGAAAAAAGTAATCAAAATTGTGGCATGAAATAAATGTCAAATGATTGACATTAGATGTCTGATATAGACAATAAAATAGCTTAAAACTGACATCATGCAATTTAATGCTGCCTTTTGGTTTAGGCTACATCTAACTATGTTTGGGCAGTCATTTTTCATACCATCATATTGTTCACACATTATGCAGTGGTATATGGAATTTTCATGGTATTTTCCAAAGCATCAGTATTTATTCAGCTAGCAGGAGGGGTCCCCACAATACAAACTGCCAGCAAAACCCAAAACAATTTCCAGATTGCGCTGTTCAGGTTTTTGGGAGTTCTGATTTACACATTATTTCATTAGTTTCCTTGCCAGCTAGTTTCAGCCATTTTGTTTAGCTCAGTTAATTCATGGCAGTCTGTCACTAGTGTCAGATCCTGTATCCTACGTTGTCACTTAGGCGATCAGGCAAAACAAAATTGAGGAAATGCATGTTAGATGAATTAATGGTTGCCTACACAAATTCTTCAAAATACAGATGTGGATTTCTGCCATCGAATATGTAAATATTTGAACATTTTCTAATTTTCCTCTGATAATGAAGCTTGACCTACCTGCCATAATAGGTTTTAACCAAGCGAATTGCAAAGGAAAAAAAATAACCCAAACACTGCATCTCTTAGGCAATTATAACAGCCTTCTTCATACCTGGGTGCAAACACTGCTAAAAATTCATAAACTAAGGGAATCCTGTTTCAACTGCCTGTCTGAATACCATTATAACGTTACAATAAATTGGTGACAACACAAAAACTACACTGGAGGGGTTGGGTGGGATGTGGGTTGTTGTATATTTGTTTATGTGAAAATACAATAAAAAAAAAAAGACTTGACAAAAAAACTGCACTTGAGAATTCAGGCCTATAAGGGCATCTAATTAGACTGCACTAATTAGTGTATGAGCCACCCTAACACTTCCAATGGCAAACTTGACTGCCTCCACTTGGTTACTTGGTAGTTTTCTAGTGTCAAGCCAAGCGAGATAGAGAGCCAGCAACTTTAAATGATGTGACTTGCTGTATGTCAAAAAAATCGAAAGAAAGATTGCAATATCACAAATCCTTGATTTCACCTCAGAGTTCATCATCCCACTGAATTTA